CCTGGGTACCTCAGATTTTTTGAGGAAATCCTGAAGACATTATCAATAGATGTATGTGAAACAGGCCAGCAATCAAGGAGACATTTGTTGTGGTAAGAGGCAATGATGCCAAAGCTGAGCATCCATCCATGTCTGAAGCACCATGATGAAGGAAGGGAAGATGCTCCAAGCACAAAGGCCTTGAAATGTTGGGTCCCTATTCCCCTGACATGCCACTCTTTCAATTACTCCCCTTCCTCCTTCCCTCTACCCTTCTGGTGTAACCAGGGAATGCCAGAGAAATTTTTTTTTTAATTCCTTTTGGGAGGGAGAGGGAGGAAATAGTTTGATGTAAGTTGTTCATCAGGCTTCCCCATCAAATAGAATCTGACTAGCTTTAGGAAACGCACATAATACTATAGGAAAAGAAAATAATAAAAGATGGAAAAGCAAAAGGTGAAGTCTGATCAATGAAGTGAGGAGCACACATTGCAAACCAAAGAGACTCTTCTGTTTCAGAATTAGACCCTAAGTTCTAGAGCCTCCTGGAGGCCAGGATTCAACCCATTTTGAATTCAATCATCAAGAGGATACCAAATTCTATCACAAATGCCAAGGTTCCATTAAAAAAATAAGCTGGCCAAGGCCAATGTTCCTGCAGATGAGCAAGTATATTCTGTTTCCCTATATAGAGATACATTTCTGGGCAACTTCAGGAGCAGGGTTCTCCAGATGTGGTCATGATTGAACCCCAGCCCTAGCGCATGCTGGTCACAGAAGGAGCCTCTTGTCCTGCCCCAGGTGCTTGGCAAAGAAGCTTCGTTCATCACTGCCTCCAGAGGGCGCCCTTGAGCCACTTTCGGCTGGTTTTGGCTGCCTTTATGTAGGAGTTACTCATTTCTCCAAACCACGGAATATGGCCAAGCCAAATTCTATGTGGAAAGAAGAGAAAGAAGGTCCCTTTCCACTTGTGTCACTTTTGTCACCTGCCACCAAAGTAGGGTTTACTGAGCCCTAGTAGCTCTCAAGACTTCAGTGACAACAGTAATCAGCCCCAGGTCTGCAGCTTCTCTTCTGCTTGGGCTCAGTTGAACCCATAAGGCCACCCCAGGACCAGACATAAGAGACTCTTGCCTTCCCAGTCTCCACTGCTGTGGCCCTCATCCTCTAGGGGGCGCAATTATGGGGGTATTTCCCTACAATGAGAATGTGAAACTTTAGAAATAAGTATCCTGTAATGATAGTCATGAGCCAAATCTACATGCAAGGAGAATTGCTAATACTTCCCTGAGTTGAAAATCAGTGTCAATTTGTTCAGTATGTTTGGGCAAAATTATTTCATTAGCTTCTGCCCTTCACAGTTCTGAGGCTCTTCTGAGGCTCTTGGCTTAATCAAATGGCTCTTAAAGACATTGTCAGCTTTTAGAGAAGATAACCTATTGTATGCTAGAGTACCTGAGCCTCTTTTGTACTCTGCCACCTCCTTCTAGCAGATAGGAGACTCTGACAGAGATCAGATGAAAGATCAAGTGACTGAGGAAAAGGATGGGAAGAGGTTATTCACCAGGGTGCTGGGGTAAGAAAGGAGCAAGCCTTTGCCCTACCTTTAAAGCACTGTACATCTGGAGATTAGACTCTAGATTTGCTGAAACTCAGGGAGGAAAAAAAAAAAAAAAGATGAAAACATGCTAGCACCAATGCTGGGAATGTGAGGAGACAACAGAGCCAGGAGCAAGAATGTGAGGAGACAACAGAGCCAGGAGCAAGAGGAAAACCAATGGCCTGTGCCCCGCTGAAGACCCCTGTGCTACAGGCAGCCCTGACACCCTGGGGCAGTTTGGAGTGGGGACTTCTGAATGGATGGGGTTATGGGATGGTCAGTGGGAGCAGAGGACCAACATTGAAATAAGGGGATACATCACGTGATTCATTTTGACTTTAGCTACTGCTTCCAGTCAGACAGAGACAGCTTAGGTAGCTGGGGTACTCAAGTCAATCAGAATTGTTCTGGGTGTCAAACGATGACACCCCCTGAAAGAATGCTTCTTCCCAAGAGTCAAGTAAACAGAGGGGACTACCTGGGCCCAAGCTTCTACCCGACCCATGCTGCCCTTGCTTTCATGGCTGAACCTCCAGTTAAGAGTTGTGGGAAGGCAGTGACAAATCATGGGCATGGCAAATTCACTGCAAACAGAAGACACTGGCACAGTCCCAAGGTCAGGGAACGGGTGAGTCAAGTGGGAAGAGGGCTACCATGTCACTTCCACACACACAGCTCAGCCTGGCTTCCACAGCAAAGATGTCAGAAAACCCTCCAGGTGTCAGCAAGGAGGTCAATGGCCCCAGAGGGCAGTAAGAGTGAGGACAGTCCAGAGCACTTTTAAGCAGCACCTGCTTCCCTGTTCTGGCACTTCTCAAGTTCTGTTGTAGGCCCGATGCCTCATTTGACGTTAAACATAATCCCTTTGTCAGGAGTTTAACTGCCCTGCACACACAGCTAACTCCAAGGCCTCTCCTCTCCTCTGACCTCAAGCCCAGTATATAAGTGTACTGTGGTCAGGAATACCATTAGACAAACTTAAGTCTTTTGCCCTTCTGTGACATTCTCATCTCCTCCTCATGTCCCCAATTTTGAACAATTTGTGTTCCTCCCAGTCTCCCAAGGCTTTCCTCTGTGGTCCTCAAATCTACTTCTGAAACCCCACAGATGCGCCCCTTCCTCTTCAGTGTAACCCCTGCTCTAGTTCAGGCCCTGGCCTTCTAACTGGAACCATGCCATAGTGTCCTAACAGTTGCATAGCTGGTAACTGAAGCTTTTCTAGGTTCCAATCAGCTGCTAGATTCTGATACTTGAACCTGTCTCCCTGGGCCTGGCATTCAAGCTTTCCCTATATATAATCTTACCCAAGTACCTCTCCACTCTCAGCTCCCAACACTCCCTACCTCCCCCAATTCTACACTCCAATAGTGGTAAAAATAATAATAATTTACAGTCCTTACAGTCCCACATCTGTACCCTGAATTCATGCTACATCATACTACAGCACCTTTCTCTGGAACTCCCTTCTCTCTTTGGGACCTCTCTTTCCAGCTCTCATAGTTCTCTTATATCATCATCTTATTGTAGTTGCCGAGATCTGTTCATTTCAATACAGGACTTATCCCTCAACCCCAGCCATTCAGAATAACATAAGCAAGAAAAAGTAAACTAGCTGTGACCCCAAGTGGGCTGGTTCTGGGGAAGGAAGGTTCTGGAGCAGGGAGAGGGGTTAAGAACTGACCTTGTTCCATGGGAGTACAAAAGCCTCCACTCCACCTACTTCCTCACATGTGCACACCAAGTTCCAATCACATCCATTAGCTGATAGATACTTCCTATGGTCAGAAATAATCAGAACATGAATAAGGCCCCAATGCCACAGATAGATCATGGCAAGGGGAATTTGCTTTAAAATTCCATGGAAATCAAAGACCTTGGGCAACATTTTTGTGTGTGTGCTAGTCCTGGGGCTTGAATTTAGGGCCTGGGTGCTGTCATTGAGCTTTTTAATCAAAGCTAGTGTTCTACCACTTGAGCCACAGCTCCACTTCCCACCTTTTTGGAAATTAAGAGTCTCCTAGACTTTCCTACCCAGGCTGGTTATGAAGCATGATCCTCAGATCTCAGCCTCCTTAGTGGATAAGATCATAGGCATGAGCCACCAGTGCACATCTTTTGGCCTACATTTTGTTGATGTTGTTGTTGTTTGTCAGTTGTGGGGCTTGAACTATGGGCCTGGGCGCTGTCCCTCAGCTCTTTAGCTCAAGGCAAGCGCTCTACCACTTGAGCTACAGTACCACTTCCAGTTTTCTAGTGTTTTATTGGAGATAAGTCTCATGGAGTTTCCTGCCCAGGCTGGCTTTGAACTGCGATCCTCAGATCTCAGCCTCCTGAGTAGCAGGGATTACAGGCCTGAGCCACCAATGCCTGGCTTTGGCCTACATTTTTACAAACCCTTCTAAGGAACAACTCTGGAGGCCAAAATGGTAGAGATGAGAAAATCACCCAGGTGAACTTGTCCAACTTGGCCTATGTGAAAAGCTGGTTCAAATGGTCTAACTGGGTAAGACTAAGTAAAGAGAACTCATGATAAAATGCTACCGTGAAGCTGGAACGTGGAACTTCTCAATAGAGAACCATATACCAACTTCCTCTACCTCAGTCTTGTCATCAGGATTAGGAACAAATAGAAGCCAGGGAGGCCAGGGATGATTAAACAGTGGAGGGGACGCCACTAGCTCTACCAGGCTTAAGTCTGGTCAGCCAAGTATAACAAGAAGCAGAAACCACTTCTGAGAAGAGATTTAAAATATCACTTTGGTTGTGTTTTCCCCAATCCTAGCCAACCCATCTCTCACTCCTATTACTATTAAGACGAAATATCATACTCATCACTTTGATAATAGCTTGGCCTTGCTCAAAGCACTTCACCAATTCTAAACAGCCCAGGTCTTCATCTTTAGAGCATCTCAATTTCCATATTTGTTCAAGGGAGAATTCATGAACTAATCACTAGGCCACTGGCTCTAGGTTCTCAGCTCTTCCCCCTCTCACTAGGGAGTCTCATATTTTCCTGAGGATATGCCCTGAGAGCAAACTACCCCACAAGAAAACTCCATAGACAGGGCAGAGACCAAGTAACAGTTTGGGACAGTTTGGAATCATTGGTCAAGGTCACTGATTTAATCCCCTAAGTCACCAGTCTGGCTCAAATACTGATAAAGCTCACACATGACAGCAAATACAAGGACAGCCTAAGGCTGTTGTGGAGGTCTTTATCGTAGAAAAACAAATTACACTTGAGAAAAGTGCCTTCTGGATCCTTACTTAGTATTTGTAATTCAATTCCAAATTACCTAGCAATTACCAAGACTACTACTTCCCTGGGTATAAAACTGAAAAACTGGAAGATTTCTTTCTGGTATATGGTTTAAAATCTTAGGAAGTGTGAACTCAGAGGGATTGCTCTTTTGTTGGGAGTGGAGGGGTCCTCCTATGATGTTTTCCCTCCTGTATGGATTCTCCGGTGAGCGCTAAAGTGGGAGCTGTTGTTGAAATCTTTGCCACACTCCATGCACTTGTAGGGTTTCTCCCCTGTGTGGATTCTCTGGTGAATAATAAGACTAGAGCTCTGGTTAAAGCACTTCCCACACTCTCTGCACTTGTATGGCTTCTCTCCTGTGTGAATCCTCTGGTGAGTGATGAGGTTGGAGCGGTCCCGGAAGAACTTCCCACACTCGAGGCATTTGTAGGGCTTCTCCCCTGTGTGGACTCGGCGGTGCGTGACGAGCTTGGAACGCTCACTGAAGCACTTCCCACAGTCCGTACACTTATATGGCTTCTCCCCAGTGTGGGTTCGCTGATGGTTGGCCAGGGTGGAGCTCTTACTGAAGCTTTTCCCACATTCAGCACACTCAAATGGTTTCTCTCCAGTGTGGATTCTTTGGTGGCTGAGGAGAGCAGAGCTCTTTGAGAAACATCTCCCACATTCAAAGCACCGATACAGTTTATCCCCTGAGTTGGTACTGTGGGGTCTGGGAGAGCTCAAGTTCACACCAACTCTCTGAAGTTGCTCAGATATCTTCCCTGCAGAATTCTGCCATGGAACACTAAAAGATGGACTTTGTTCAAAGCCCTCCCCACCAGACTCACTATACTGGTTGGGACTTCCTCCCAAGTGTATCCTCTGATGTTTCAGGAGGTTGGAACTCTGGTTAAAGCTTTTCCAACATTTGCCGCATTTATAGGGCTTTTCTCCTGTATGGATTCTGTGGTGGGTGATAAGATTGGAGTGGTCACTGAAGCTTTTCCCACATTCAAGGCATACGTAAGGCTTTTCTCCAGTGTGGATTCTTTGATGGGTATTGAGGTTAGAGCGGTCACTAAAGCTTTTCCCACACTGCAGGCATTTGTAGGGCTTCTCATCAGTGTAAGTCTGCTGGTGGGCAAGAAAGTGGGAACTCCGGCTGAAGCTTTTCATACGACTATAAGGTTTCTCCACGAGGTACAGGCCTTGGTGGTCAATGAGTTTTTCTAAGTCCTCTTCAGAAGAACAGTCGTCCCACTGTTCCTGGGGAGGCTCTTTCCACTCCCCTGCACCTTCATGCTCATTTTCACTGTCTTCCTCCCAACCAGCTTGACACACAGCTTCAGTATTGCATTTTGCTAAGGCTCCAGGCAAATCCTCAAAAATGTCCTGCTCTGAAATCTGATCTTCATCCTTCAACTCAAACCCTGAAAGAATAGACAGAATACAGTTTTGTTCATGCATTAATTAGCCCTGATGTATCTATCTGTATTTTGTGTCATGTGAATTTGACTAATGTGAACTTGTTATCTTATACCTCACATCTTATAAATGTGACTTACTTGAAATTTATCAAGTTTCAGGGAATATAACCTGCACAGCTCAGCCACACAGTCTGGAACATGATGCCCTCAACCAAAAACCCCACAAGGTCCAGACCAAGCAGCTGGCTATTCAGTCTCCCTGGCTAATTACCCTATCTCAGTGTTCAATAATAAACCCCTCCTTCCTTCTTCTAGTAATTCACTAGACCTTGTGTCATACAAGACTGAGTAAGGGGGGGCCGGAGCTCCACTGGGCGGCTCCGCGAAGGCCATGGAGGCCATGGCGGCTCGGCAAGGCCCCGCGCCAGGCTGGGCGGGCGGCCCCTCGGACCCCGAGGACTGGAGGACCAGCTCACGGAGGGCGGCGCAGGCCTGGTAACTTCCAAGATTTAAAGTTAATTGATTGCTGGTAGTTGTGAACAAATACAACTTTTGTCCCAGGTGTGTGCCATTTTGAAGACAGGTTTTTATCCTTGAGGATAAAAGGAAACCCCTTGGAAAACCTGTTTTACATAGCAAAAATTTGATTCCCCATATGAAGTAAAAAAGGCCTAAGCAGCAAGACATTGGTGGGAACATTTATCAAGCCACCCAACTCAGATTAAAGAGTCAAATGGATCCTTCCACTGAGAAATCAAGATGGCAGTCCAGTATGGGAAACTGAGGACAATGGATTTAATACAAGTATGTTGTGACATGTACAACCAAGCAGGGTTCTTTAACATGGATTCCATGAGACTGAAGATACAGGTTTCTAACCCACCTCATACAGACATATATGTCATTAAAATTAGAAGAAAGATGACATCTAAACCAGAGGCTAGTTTGTATTCCTGAAACTTTTTTGCAATTTGATTTAAATATGACCTCATGGAATGTTAACATCAATAAAACTTCTAACACTTGAATCAAAAAAAAAAGACTGAGTAAGTTCTATAATTGTCCACATATGTAATCCATACTAAGTAAAAATAATCAGAGAGCTAGAGATTATGTGAGAAAGCCCACACCTTTCTCCTGTTCAATCCCATTCTTAAGGTCACCTATATTTACATGTCTGTGGATCTGTGGACTCCCAAGGGCTCTAGGCTTACCTGTATCTGGAGTTTTAGGGCATGGGGTTGAAGGTTTGATGACATCTCCATCTGCCAACTCACCCCAGGCCTTCTGGTCATCAGTCTTAATATCCTTCTGCCCAGACCCAGGGACCCTGACAATCTCCATAGCCCTGATGGAAGTCCGAGCTCTCATTAATAAATCCAGCTCTTTGTAGAAGGGACAGGTCCCTGGTGGTTGACTGCTCTTGGCTTTCCGGTAGCTTCGAAGGAGGTTTTTGAATCGGTAACGACATTGCTCCAGTGTCCGCAAGAAGCCTAATGCACATAGTCGTTCTGCAATGGCCCGGTACACCTGACTGTTTTGGTGACAAGTGCGAAGCTTTTCAGAGAATGGAGACTCACTAAGAATTGCCAGAAAAGCCTTGGTCTCCTCATAGCCCCAGTGCACACCTGCTGTCAGGAGGGAAGAATTCACAAGTGTGAGATTTTAGCTGTGTCTGAGTTATTAAGGACTGGCGTTACCTGCCCTTTTAAGTATCTAGAACACAAGCAACTCAGAAACTGTCCAGATACTTAGGAACACAAACTTCATTCTCAGGAGTCTGCTAGGAAAGTCAGCGAGAGCATCCTACAACACCTGTTCTAAAAGGTCCTATTAACACTTTGAATATTCCGAAGGGGAACACTTAGGTGGTCATAGTCTATCAAGTGTACCAACTGAGGGGCTGGGAAGGTGGCTCAGTGGTAGAGCGCTTGCCTTGCATGCCTGAGGCCCTGGGTTCGATTCCTCAGCACCACATAAGCAAAAAGAAAAAAGCCAGAAGTGGCACTGTGGCTCAAGTGGTAGAGTGCTCGCCTTGAGCTGAAGAGCTGATGGACAGTGCCCAGGCCCAGAGTTCAGACCCCACAATCGGACCCCAAAAAAAAAAGAAAAGAAAAGAAAAGTGTACCAACTGAACCCACTCACTTGGCTTCAACTGGTTGGCAATTGGAATCCATGAGATTCTCCCTATATCACATATTATCTATCTCTTTTGTTACTTCTCCCTTTAATAAAACTGAGAAACCTATGCAACAGAGGTCCAACTGATGATGCTCCCCCCCCACACACACACACATACACACTTGGTTCCAATCCTAGGACTTGAATTCAGGGCTTGGGTGCTGTCCTGAGCTTCTTTTGCTCAAGGCCTGTGCTCTACCACTTGAGCCACAGTAGCACTCCTGGCTTTTATTAAAGATTAAGAGTCTCAAAGACTTTCCTGCCCACAAACTCCAATTCCCTGATCTCAGCCTCCTAAGTAGCTAGGATTACAGGAGTGAACCACCAGCATCCAGCTCCCTCTCCTCTCCTGTGAAGGAATGAAAAGGAGATCTAATCTCCTGGTACTTATTTTGTTGGGCTTTGACTTAGTCTTTCTAAAGAATTATACTATTTGACCTCCCCATAGAGTCTATTATACTTTAGTTAATTCATCTATAACCTCCTGCATACCATCCAATGTGTTTACATATAGATTTACAGGTATATCCAAGCTACTATAAATCAGGGAAAACATGCAACATTTGTTTCTCTGGGTCTAACTTATTTCACTTACTGTAATTTTTCCCAAGTTTTTCCATTTCCTTACGAGTGGCACAATATCATTCTTTATAATGGACAAGTACAATAAAGGGGGGCACAGGGGAGAGGGGAAGATGAATGAGGGAGAAGGAGAGGATAGGCAGTCAAGAATTCATTGTATATACCACAAAGTTTTGGAGGGTGACATAGATCAAGATGCATTATATACATAAAATGCTTTGTTAAGTGCCAAAAAATTCAATATATAGCCTACAAAACTAAGAAAAGTGAGGAAAGGGATGGGTTGGGGGGAATGGGTGAGAATGTTGATCAATGGATGACATTGGTCAATATGCATTCTATTCATAAACTGCTTTGTTAAATGGCAGCTCCTTTGTACAACTACTTGAAAAGTTATTTTTAAAGGAAAGAAAGAGAAGGAGGTCTAAGCTCAGTTCCTATGTAGGTAAGTGATGCAGCCCAGGCAGGCGGCACTGAGGAAGGAAGCCATGTGAAATTGGCAGGAACCCCTGTGTATCTTTCAATCAAATGCTTCACTGTCTCATCTTTACTGGGACATGGACTGTCAAGTTGACACTTAGTTTCTGCTGTCTATTTGGAATTTCACTTGATGTCTCTCCACATCAAATTTATCATCTGTGAAATCACAGGCACATAGGCTCATGTATACTAAGAGAAACGTTCCCATGGGAGCTAAAAGTTCACTCTTGTAACACCTACTATCATTCCCATATGAACTGGAGTGCGCTGAGAACTACTGGGGTCTTGCCATACAAGTCTGTCTTACAAGTGTTTGCTTCTGTAATTAAGAAGACTTGGGCAAGGAGATTTCATCATGGGGGAACAAAGTGAGGGTTTGAGGATGCCTAAGGAACTTAGCATCTTAATCTAGTGGTATCAATCCAGACCTCTAGTCTGTGTTTAACCTCAGGAACCACAGGCTGGCTAGTAAACAGGGTTAGAATCGGCATCTGCTTAATCCCCGTGTTCTTACCAATACGACTGTGGAGCAGAGCTGGACCCCCTGCAATCCTGGACCCCTGGGCAGACTCCTCGGTGGCTAGGCCAGAACTATCACAATCTTCTATTGTTTCTTCGGTCTCCCAGCCCCCTTCCTCCTGCTCATCCAGTTCAGCATCACTGTCCCCCAGCCTGGGAAGTGTCACAACCACTCCTGAGCTATCTGTGGCTCTGATGGCTGTCCGAGCCCTCACCAAGGCCTCCAGCTCCTCATAAAAGGGGCAGGTCCCTGGTGGGTGGCTGCTCTTGGCTTTCCGATAATTCCGCAGGAGGTTTTTGACCCTGTAACGACACTGCTCCAGTGTCCGCAGGAAACCCCGTGCCCTCAGCCGCTCTGCAATGGCTCGGTATACCTGGCGGTTCTGGTGACAAGTCCGGAGCTTTTCAGAGAAAGGAGATTCACTCAAAATTGCCAGGAAAGTCTTGGTCTCCTCATAGCCCCAGTGAACGCCGGACACCTTTATGTCGTCCACATCGCCTTGGTATTGCTCCTCCCAGGCCTTTGAGTCCCTCCAGGCCAATGCCTGAGCTGATTTTATTTGCTCACTATGTAAGCTGTAATCTGCAGAGTTCCTTTTCCCAGAATTCATCAGGCTTAGACTCCAGAACTCTTGTCCTTGCTCTGACTGGGAGTTGACACTTGGTTTTGAAACTAGAGCTCCTACACAAAAAGAAGAGAAATGACTAAATAGAAGTGTTTTGTTGAACATTGTCCAAAATGTTCTAAAGCTTACATCCTTTCACTTAGAGAGTCTGATGAAAGAGTCTCCTTGGAGAGAAGTAACAGGATCATCCTACCAGAACAGGTAAGTGACTGCTTTGGTCATTTACTTTTGTAGTTGTTATGTTGTTGTTTGTTATATGCCAAAGAATGACTATGAATGACTCACAGACAGAAGCATGACATAAATCAGCCCAATCAGACTGAATTCCAGTAGGTGTGTGCATGTGTGTATGTGTGTGCATGTATCTCTCTTGCCAGGAAACTTATGACCTCTATTGACACTGCCATCTTTTTTTTGACCATAATTCAAGCAAGCTTTCACATGTGGCCAAGTGCTAGATTGATGGCAGCGGTACTTATCAGCAACATCCAAGCACATGATAAGTAAAAACATATGATGTTAGGCACCAGCGACTCATGCTTGCAACCCCAGCTACTCAGAAGGCTGAGATCTGAGGATGGTCATTTGAAGCTAGCCTGGGCAGGAAAGTTTGTGAGATTCTTATCTCCAATTAACCACCAAAAAGCTGGAAAAGGAGCTGTGGTTCAAGTGCTAGAGTACTAGCCTTGATGAAAAAAAGCTAAGGTATAGCACCTAGTCCCTGAGTTTAAGCCATAGTACCCATATTTTAAAAAAAGAAAGAAAAAGAAAAAAAAAAAAGAATCCTACTGTCAAGGAAGTACAACAAATCAAGAAACTTCTATATCTTACCTTACCAAGGGTCAGGCCTGTCAGAGGTATCTTCTACTTCACCGCACTCATGTCTAACTCCCCTCCCAGTAACCCCAGCTTCCTAGGCAGAGGGCTCACTAGTGCTTGGCTTCCCATGCAGGTGTGCTACAGAAAAAGGAGTCTGCACTGGTCACATGGGCGTCAAGTACGTCAAGGCCTATGATACTTTACAGTTTTATACACCGGGCTCATCGGGCTTCATTCACTTGAGTCTGCCCCAGAGAGGCAGATCTCTTTTGATAGAGAAAGACTGGATTTCTGAGACAGCAGGCTAGGCCCAGCTCCTGGCTCAGAGTAATGTACTGAGGAGAGGAAGTCAAGGAGCCACAAGAGGGCCAGCTCTGGACAGCCATGCTTCCAACCCTAATCTGGGAATACTGACTCTGCAGGAACAATGTTAGTTTGAAGGAGCAAGTTGTGTCTTCTCTTTGAAATTCCAGAGACTGCAGAGCTATAAATCTTAAAGGAGTGGCACACAACTCTTTGGGAACTGAGTGTACCAGAATCAGGCCATCTTGGGCCCTGGGGAAGGGCATGCTTTCCTTACCCAGATGCACGCTGTTCTCACAGTCATTTGTTGGAGGGTCCTGACAGAGCAACTTGTCAGCATGATTGACGGGGTCCAAGGCTTCCTGTGACATGTGCAAGAGAAGGACTTTAAATATTATGGATCCTTGAAACAGGTTGGGAGTCCTATCAGGCCCCAAGAGAGATCTGTGTAAGACTATCACACAGTGTCAAGACCACAGAAAGGTCCCACAGGCTGGGCTGGGGCCATAGCTAACACCCTGGGTTTTACACTCTTTTGCTGGGAAGAGCCTAGGGGAAGAGGAAGACACTGGAAGGCAAGGACACAGTAGGAGTAATGACAGGCCAGATGCTGGTGTCTCACGCCTAGCTACACAAGAGGCTAAGATCTAGGATGGTAGTACAAGGCCAGTGAGATTGCCAGGAAAATCCATGAGACCTATCTCTAACATAACCACCAAAAAGCCAGGCTGGAAATACAGCTTAAGTGGTAGAGTGCCAAGCATGCAAGTAATCTGAGCAATTGTAAGACCCTGGATTCAAGCTCTGGTATGAGAAAGAAAAAAAAAATGATAGGAGGGAAAGAACAAATTGCAGCTCACCTGTGACTCAGCTATCACCTCCCAGTCTTCAATGCTTCCTATCTTTGAGACAATTGGAAGTCGAGTAGTAAGGACAGCTAGAAGAAGAAAAAAGAAAAAAAGAAAAACTCTCAACTCCAAGGTCTGACTCTAAAAACCACTTTCTTCTAAAATCTACCTTTTTTTAAAAACAATGCTTGGATCCCACTGAGTTACTGCCATGGCCAGCACAGACCTCTTCTTCCACATTCCTTCTAGAACATGGAGTTCCTATTCCCTACTCACCCCATTCCCAATCTCCAGCTGCAGTGAGCTCGCTGGCACTATCAAAAGCTTCCTCCTCTTTCACTTTCTTACTTTGTCAGTAAGTGTGTCCTTCAGATATTATCCCTTGCTTTGAATTCTGCGTATCCTTCCTTTCCTGTGTGTGTTAGCATTATCCTCACCTTTAGTCCTCAGCTCCATCCAGACCTGAGCTCCTCCCTGCCTTGGAGTTCCTGCCCTACAGCTGGCCACTCCCTCTCTCCGCCCAGACCCACCCACGCACTCATTTACCTTACTTCCTCCCTCACTTCCCCACCCACCGGCGACTTAGAAGTGGGCCTACGCCATGTGCTCCCTTTCCCGGGGAGATATGGCCCCTCTAATAAACCTTATGTCTCCCCTGTGGTCCTCTGGAAGGGTCCTGAGGATCCTCACAGTGTGCTCTTCCTTACCTCCAACTCTCTCTCTCTGGCTTCATCTCTATGTTGCCAGATTTTTGGTACTCACCACTCTCTTTCAAGGGCTGAGGCGCCATCTTGGCAGGTAGATCTTTGGGAATGCCTGAGCATGTACTTTCCATCCACTGCTTCCGGGACTGTGTCTCAGGCCACTCATCTGCAGGCTGCAGCTGCAAACTCTGAGATTCTTGCATTGCCTTTAAAGACCCGCTCTCCTCTGCACACAACTCCAATTCCTGCACACAGAGGATCAAAATTCCCAAAGGTCAGTTCAACAATGGTCCTTCCACTTCAGTAACACAGAATGTTATTTTGCCTATGAGTATGATCCAGGAGTTAAAAGGCTCTTTAAGACTCAAAGACAGCTTCAAGTATAATGACAAAGTTACCAGACTAAGAATATAGACCAGCATTTTTCTACCAAAAGATCATTGCTTTGTTCAGCTCTGGGAAGTTATACAAGTGTTTCAAAACAGTTGCCACTATCTGGGAGCTGGGAGCTCATGCCTATAATCCTAGCTATTCTGGAGGCTGAGAACTGAAGATCACAAATTGAAGCCAGTTGAGACATTAAAGTCTGTGAGATTTTTGTATCTCCAATTAACCAGTAAAAAGCCAGAAGTAGATATGTAACTTAAGTGGTGGAGTGCCAGTCTTATGTGAAAAAGCCAAGCCAAATGAGAGCATGAGGCCCTGAGTTAGGCTCTCCCTCTACCAAAAAATGCTGCTACTATTCAACACATTTCTGACTCATAAAAAGATAAATTATGTAAAGTTTTGTGACAGTGGAAAATAATTTATAAGCATAAAAATAAGTTGTTTGCCTCTCAGGTAATTATAACTTAGAGGTACTGTGTGACCAGCTGCGGTGACTGTCTTTATTCTCAACCTCAGCCCCTTCAGCCACCACCATCCCTATAGAAACACCCTGAGTCCACAGACAGTAACTGATGACAAAGAAAAAGGGATCTAAAAGATAATACAGCAAAAATTTCTGGTTTCCCAATGCAGATGCTCCACTATAGATGAGTGGATCAAAAAATGTGGTACCTATATACAATAGAATTTTACACAATCATTAGAAAGAATAAAATAATGTCATTTTCAGGGAAATGGATGGAACTTGAACAAATCATGTTAAGTGAGGCAAGCCTAGACCACAGAGATAAACAGCACATGTTCTCCCTGATATGCAGAAGTTAGATCTAAAACACACTGGGACATGACCAGTTACACAGAACTCCAGCTACTCACATACAGTGAGACCAAAAGAGAGAGAGAATAGGAGAGAATCACAAAGGTGCAATACCCAAGCGCCTCTTCAGATGTATATAAAATAATACGCATACTGAAATGAACTCCAAAGATATGAAAAAAGGACTTTTTTCTTAATTTGTTTTTTCAGTTGTGGATGACTCTGTATTCTTGACCTTATAAGGTGTATTCACATGCACAACTGGGGGAGGATTGAGGGAGGGCACAGAATCAGGGAAAATGGTGAGAAAGTGCAGCAGTGCAGCACACTGGCTGCACAGGCCATCAAGGAAGGTGAACTATGCAATCTGTGGGTGGAAAGGGGAGGGAGGAGGTAGATGAGAAGGAGGGAACAGATGACACTGTGCAATAGAAAATGTACTTACTACCTGACTATGTAAAGGTAACCACTGTTTATCACCTTTAAAACAAGAATAATTTAGCAATCTGGTTTCAACCCAGCAGGTAAGGAGCTTACAAGTTGCCACTCTAGCTCAACAAGTACTAAGGTGAACAAACTCAAAAATCAACAGCTCTTCATGCATCCATCAGGGCAGGAAGCTCACATGGCATACAGTTTACCAGAGCAGAAACATCTTTAAGAACTAGTGCTGGGGTTTAAAAAAAAAACAAAAACACTCAACTGTAATTGACAAGTTGCTGAAGGCTCAGTGTAGACAACTCTGAGGATTAAAAGCTCTAAGAGGAAGGGGGAGTACTGTCCAAAAGGAAATGTACTCATTACCTGACTTGTGCAACTCCTCTGAACATCACCTTTATAATAACCATTTTGAAAAACAATAACAAAAAAAAAAAAAGCTGGAAGAGCAGAAGGCAGGCACACTTAGTGAGGCTTTATTTTGTTATTTCTTTTTGTGTTGGTCCTCAGGGCCTGGATGTTGTCCCTGAGCTTTGGTGCTCATGGCTTAGCACTCTACCACTTGAGCCATAGGTCCACTTACAGCATTTTGCTGGTTAATTGGAAATAAGAGTCTCATAGACTTTCCTGCCCAAGCTGGCTTCAAGCCATGATCCTCAGATCTCAGCCTCCTGAGTAGCTAAGATTACAGATGTGTGCCACCAGCACCCAGCTTACTTTGTGAGTTTTATACACAGGAGTGGTACCAGGTTCTCAAGTGTACATCACAGAAAAATCCCTTTGTGCATCCCAAAGGCTAAGGGGGAACACACCAGCACACTCTGCTGTATTAACAAAGCCTGCTGTTAAGTAGGCCTGCCCTCAGGAGAGTTATTTTACCAGCGTTTCACTTAACTTGCAGAAATGAGGTTCCAACTCCAGTTCTTTCCACTCTTAGACTCGAGGATAGGAAATGCCCAACTGAAGCCTTTTAAGGCCTCTTGTCTCATCTAAGGGCCAGGAAGTTTTCAAAAAATTATCAGACCAGGTATTTTTATACTATCAGTGGTCTAAATACACCATTTAAAAGAGATCATTTGGGGCTGGGAAGGTGGCTCAGTAGTAGAGCACTTGCCTTGCATGCATGAGGCCCTGGGTTCGATTCCCCAGCACCACATAAGCAAAAAGGAAAAAAGCCGGAAGTGGCTCTGTGGCTCAAGTGGTAGAGCGCTAGCCTTGAGCTGAAGAGCTGAGGGACAGCGCCCAGGCCCAGAGTTCAGGCCCCACAACCTGAACTAACTAAATAAATAAATAAAAAATAACGGGGCTGGGAAGGTGGCTCAGTGGAAGAGCACTTGCCTTGCATGCTCGAAGCCCTCAGCACCACATAAGAAAAAAAGCCGGAAAGACTTAAAGAGAAGCTTCTCTGAAGAAGAAAGAAGGATGGCCAATAGACACATGAAGAAATGTTCAACATCCCTAGCCATAAAAGAAATGCAAATCAAAACAACATTGAGATATCACCTCACTCAAGTTAGAACAGCAAAAATCAAGAACTCTAACAACAACAGATGCTGGAGGGGATGTGGACAGAAAGGAACCTTACTTCATTGTTGGTGGGAATGTAAACTTGTTCAACCACTTTGGAAAGCAGTATGGAGGTTCCTCAAAAGAATCCACATAGAGCTCCCCAACGACCCAGCAATCCCACTTTTGGGCATTTACCCAAATGATCACAAACAAGGCCACACTAAAGCTACCAGCACAACTATGTTTATTGCAGCATTATTTACCATAGCTAAGACATGGAACCAACCCAGATGCCCCTCAGTAGATGAATGGATCAAGAAGATGTGGTATATATACACAATGGAATTCTATGCCTCCATCAGAAAGAATGACATTTCCCCATTTGTTAGGAAATGGAAAGGCTTGGAAAAAATTATATTAAGTGAAGTAAGCCAGGCCCAAAGAAACATAGGTCCCATGGTTTCCCTTATTTGCAATATCTAGTATAGGTATGAGTCAAGCGGAAAAAGTCAGATAATGTGATGTTAGGAAAACAAAACCTCAAATATGTATTTTAATGTTTTTGTTTCTTTCATGCATGTGTTTCTAACGCATTTATAAGATTATTTCTTTGTTGCTTTGTATGTCCCTCCCCCACAGTGTAACCCCCGCTTTCACTATATTTGATGTCAGTATAACATGTGGAGGAGATGGGGACAAACAAGTCGTTTAAGGATTCAGGTGGACCTGTTGCAACAATGAGAAGTACAAAATGTCATGTCAAAACCAGCTTTACAATGTTGGTGGGGGGGGGGGGGAGGGGGGGTATGATTGGTTGGGAGGGAGTGGGGAGGCTGGGAAGGGAGGTGAAGGGTAAACAAAGGAGGAGGCTGCAATGCTTGGTAAGAAATGTATGCATTATCCTGCCCATGTAATTGTAACCCCTCTGTACAGTATGTTCTCAAATAAAATAAAATAAAATTTAAAAAAAAAAAAAAGAAAGAAAAAAAGCCGGAAGTGGCGCTGTGCCTCAAGTGGTAGAGTGCTAGCCTTGAGCTGAAGAGCTGAGGGACAGTGCCCAGGCCCAGAGTTCAGGCCCCACGATGGGACCCAAAAATAAATAAATAAATAAGATCATTGCAGTTGAGTCAAAAGAAAAGACCCAACTACATTTCATCTGCAAGAAGTCCACTTTAAATATAGATTAATATCAAATATAGATTAAAAAGTAAAAGGAGGAGAAAAGATAAACCAAGCTAACATTATTCAAAAGAAAGTAAAGGTGGTGGTACAGCCTGTAATTCCAACTATTTAGGAAGTGGAGATAAGAGGATCTCAGCCAGTCCAGGTCCAAAAAGATAAAAATATTAAAAGTAGTTCATGCCTGTAATTCCAGTTACTAAGAAAGTAGAAGTAAAAAGATTATGGATTTAGGCCAGCCTTGGCAAAGTAGAAGACTCTATCTGAAAAATAACTAAAGCAAAAGGACTAAGGATGTAGCTCAAGTGGTAGAGTGCTTGCTTACTTACCAAGCAAGGCCCTGAATTCCTCAGGAGAGAGAGAGGGAGAAGGAAGGAGAGGGAGGGAGAGAAGCTACATAAATTTCAGACATAGACTTCAGAATAAGAAAAATCATCAGGGATAAAGAGTGGCATAAAATGGTAAAAAAAAAAAAAAAAAAAGTATAAAATGATACAAGGGTCAATACTCCAAGAAGGCAAAATAATCCTCAATATATGTAAGTATTACATGTACTCTTAATCCTTAATGTGCCTAACAATAGAGCACCAGGATAAATGGGGCAAGAACTGAGAGGAATGTAAGAAAAAAAAAAACAACAGACCATTCCACTGTTATAGTCAGAGACTTCGCTCCCTCTCTTAGAAGTAGACAGAACTAACAGACATAAAACTAGCAAAGGCACAGTTGAACTAAACAGTACTGTGAGAGGAATCAGATCTAATTGAAACCTATAAAGTACTTTCTCTAACAACAGCAGAATATACATTCTTTTTAGCTCCCGTTTGTCAAGATAGACTAATTTTGGGCCATAAACTATACTTTAATGGATTTAAAATAAGAAAATTATATGATGTGTACTCTTGGATCACGAGG